CGCCGCTTAATGATAGAATTATATCATTAAGCATCACAAATGCAGAGTAACACTGACGCTTAATGAAACAAGCAAATATCTACATAATCGACGGCTAATGATACAAGTAGTGTATCATTAAGCGCTGCAGTTGCACCCTTTAATGATAAAAAAAAAATCACACCCCCCCCCCTCCCAATCCGGATCTTGTCATGCAAAAAATTGTCATTTGTGTGAATATGTGATTTTTTAAAATTATTCTTTTTTATCTAGCATACTTCATTTCTAACAGATCTTTACAGGTGAGATATTTTATCAGAAACCCCTTCCCCCTTCTGATAAAACTGGATACTGTGGGTCTTATACATTTCGATTCGAGTGAATTTTCTTCTAATTTTCATCTCTCTTTGGCATATCCAATGTATTTTCAGAATAAAAGCGATACTTACGGAAATAGACTTGGTCGATGGGAATTGAATCGATTAATTATTATAGTATAATAGGAAGACATGCTCTATTGCACTGGGTCCAGAAGGGGGGTATCAATTCAAACATAAAAGTTTTATAGATACTTCTTTTTAACATGTTAATTCGAAATTGGCATGCTATATCTTTTTCCAAGAATACCCAACCATTAATTATTATGCATATTCCAGTAAAACCAGGCAAATGACCATGCTCTAGAACGCTAGCATCAAAAATGGCTGTTTTTATCGCTAGTGCTCTGGTTTAGAAATATGCTTGTTCATATTATACAATTATGGAATGGGCATGAGGGAAATAGCATTCTTTCTTTATTTCCTCCGAAGCGGAGGATTCAAATGAACAAATACATGTATCTAAAATTTTGTTAAATATCTTATGCATCAATACATAGATAATTAATAACATGTTTAAAAATGAATTATTATACCTCTACTAATTTTTTACTGTATATAATTATTAATCGATATATTTTGCTGAATTCCTGAAAATCACTATAAAAAGAATGATTCCCTGCAAAAAGATGTGTCAGTTTGATGAACTGATACACACCTATTCGGAACACCCAGCAATTTCTTTTAAGCATACGAAATGTTCCCATGTCTCAAATAAAATCATGAATTTTCATAACGCAGCTCTGTTAATATAGCATATAAGGAGGTGGGGCCTAATTCATACGGAAACTTTGACTCTTGTTAACTGTGACATCAACATGGTCAACTAATGTTCACTGAAAGCTAGACAGATCACGTAACTTTGTCACAAAGTAAATTGTTTATAAAGTTGCTTGCAGATACATCAGTATTATAGACGATTGATTCAAATGAAAAGACCTCGTATTGAATTTATTTATCTATTTTAAATTTTGAGTAATCAGGGACCCGTTTTACAAAAAGAACTTACGACTAAGACCAAAAAATTTTAGTTGATTGTAAAATTTTGCATAAATAATGATTCTGGTTAAAATTTCCACCATAAAAAAAAACTTACTACATTCCTTTCAAAAAGATGAAAACCATTTTCAATACAATGTAAATTTGAAAGTAATAAACAGAATTAAGTTTGGGTCTTAGCCGTAAGTTCGTTTGTAAAACGGGCCCAAGGATTTCAATTTTGCACCTTATAATTGCTCTGCATATAAAATAGAATTGCAGTTACGGTTTTTGATATAGTCTAACTTTGGTATCCGTACAATAAAAAAAAGTTAAAGTATATAATCGAGATACTAAGCAAGGTTCCAGTTCCCCAAGAGCAAGACTATTTCCGAGGCTCTATTATAATTTGATTTCACAGATATTTTAAAGATTTGCCGTGCTCATCATTTTGCTATATGTACATTCCACGTTAGTTTGTTTATGGAGTGTGTAGAAAGCGACGGCATTCAAGACACTTCGACACAAACGGGGGATCAGAAGGTTAGAGTATGCATTCTATTTTGACTTCTCAAACGTTGAACGCTGTGCAAGTGTAAAGCGTAAGCGAAAATCAAAACTTCACACTCACATTGAACAGAAGCTATTGCAATTGCTCTTCCATTAATTGTAATTTACTTGAAGGATAATACGGGAATTTTGAAATATAAATCACATTTGTAGTCAAGGCAAGGAGTTAAAAAAATGTTAATATAAGCACTGAATCATTAAATGTTTGAAAGATGTAGTCTCATAACTGCAACGGTGGGCGCAAACAAATCTTCATAGCGCGCGTTAGCGCGTGTCTCAATTCCTTTATTCCGCACAGTTGCAGTTATGAGACTACATCTTTCAGAAAATAATGACTCAATGCTTGAATAAATTAATGCTTAAATAATTCGCATGATTTTGACATTGCATGTGAAATGTTTTGACGACATAGTTACTTTGCTAATAACATTACGTCATAGACTACTTAAACGCTCCGCCCACTGAGCATTTTAATTGGTTTAAATTATTTATGAATATTAATGAAGGAGTAGTCCCAGGGAGTAGCTCTAATTTTACACGGAGTAGTTCTCAGACGGGGGAAGTAGAATCATCTCATCGGGGAAATAGACAGTTATATTGTATTCATTATCTATCTATCTATCTATCTATCTATATAAAATACATGGTTACTGTCTTGAAATATAAGCGATATTTGTGCGAGGGTAAGAAAACGTGATAGAGGGCGAGGCTGGCCGAGGCCTCGATCACGTTTTCGACACGAGCCCAAATATCGCTTATATTTCAAGACAGTAACCATGTATTTTGTTTATCCTGCAACATATTTTACTTGACCTCCAAAACGAGCTATTTTCAACTGATTTAGGTACATCTCTGCAGTTGAAACGTAGACGCCATGGCGTAAACATTGCAATATACATGACGTCACAGTGCTTTTAGAACGTCGGAATACATGCACGAGGCTTTATTAGGGCATTGACCGAATAAAGCTTTGGTTAATTAGGTTACCTTTATTAGGTCAATGGAAGTGGTAGTTGCAGGATAAATATATATATAAAGCACTAAAAATGACCAACGACACGAACAATAATAATCAAATTTTCGGGACGACCTGTCCCTTCCTCAGGACAAAGAAGAAAGTTAAGAAGTCATAAAAACAAAGGAAATAGAGAAACAAAAACAAATAGCACTGCTACTAAACTACTAAACACTAAATTTTTACATTGTTACATGTTTAATTTGAAGCTTATAAACAGTTGTGAACAAAGAAATCCGGAGCGCTATGAATTGCGTCCGGTCTATCGGATGTACTCTGGTGAAGTGTGATTTACATAATTGAACGAATTAATTATCGCTAATTAATCTTGGTCGTAATTAATTAGCGATAATTAATTCGTTCAAATTTGACATTATTATTGTTCGTGTCGTTGGTCATTTTTAGTGCTTTTTAAAAATTTCCATCCGTGACCTTGTATCTACTTAGTAGATCCGACACTTAGGATATACAGTGTTGTTGGTTTTTAGTGCTTTATATATATATATATATATATATATATATATATATATATATATATATATATATATATATATATATATATATATATATATATATATATGTCAACGAATATTCGAGTACTCGACTATCGTTCGATTATACAGACTATCGACTAAAATTTCTTTAGTCGGTTATTCGTTAGAAATGTGTTACCTAAAAGTAATTTTAAATTCAAGGTAATAAACTTGGATTCGCCCATTTCATTTATTTACAGATCAATGTTCTCGTAAGTAAAACTCAGGATATGGTTTAACTGTTCAAAGGAAATTATTTGTATGTCGATTATGTTCGGCATATATGCCTCCAAAATCTACAGTTGTATACTTTAAAAGATGTCAGGATGGAAAAATAGTTAAAAGCACGTTATCAAGGTTATATGAAACTGAACTTGTATTCTGCAATGGAATATCAAATATGATGTATCATATGCCGAATCCGTCAAACATACATGTAGTAAACACAGTCTTTGTTTCACCTGAAATTCCGTAACATCTGACGTAATGCAACTGTTCATAAAGAATAATTAAACAGCTGTTACAAAATTGTAAGTACATGTAAATTGGGGGACAATTATGAACGTAATTAAATGGTGTTTCTTTCTGATATTAATATCATGCAGTCTTTTTAAGATTGTATTGATTATTTGCACAAAATGTCATAATTAAAATTTATCGCAAGCTCTCTCTCTGTTTTTATAAGAGGCATGCTTTAATTGTTTACCAGTCAAAGATCACTAACACGACACATAGAAAATGGCTACAATTTACGGGTACATGTACTATCGTTATGAAAAAAAGGACAAATGCGAGCGTTTGATATCCTGCATTTAGATAAAATGTGAGGTAATTATTATATTAATTTTGATATCAAATACATTGGATAAATGTAGATGTACAGTATTTATTGTACTACGTAAATGTTTACGATTCAGAAATTGGCTGTATAATGGTGATAGCGTAGGTTAAATATTTTACAACTTTTACAACTAGTCTATATATATATATATATATATATATATATATATATATATATATATATATATATATATATATATATATATATATATATATATATATATATTAAAAGGAAAATAAATAACACCAGGTGCCTGTGTAGAAATGGAATAAATCTGTGGTCCTATGATTATAGTTTTGAAATTTTAATGAGTTTAATTTCGAAAATGTTATTTAATGAGAATATCTGATACTCCCTCAGAACCCCTTTTTGATAATTTGCACGGCTTCTCTTAGAATTACAGTTAAGAAACATTTGTGTTGCGGATAATTAATAAGCAATCATTTGAACAATGCTACAGATATCAAGTTTTGAATTCGCGCCTTGGAAGAAGTAAAATATTTACCATTCGGAGCAGCAAAGAATTCATAATGATATTTTAATAAACACAAAATTGCAGCATAAAACACATCTGGTCTATATAGAATATTGGCTTTTATAAATTCAAGTTTTTCATTTTCGAAAGATATTAGAAACTCATATACATATATATTATAAATACTCAATCTTTCCATGAAACAACAACACATTGTGAAAAGGCACATTAATTATTGCTTCAAAAACAATTTCTTGCTCTTTTTAGTATTACAAAAAATAATATTGACCTCAATCTCTGTGTCACTGAACATCATCTGAACTCTTATATTTCCTTTGTGTTCCTCGCCATTAAAAGATATCTTTCCGATCAAGGAACAGTCATCCTCATCAACATACGTGGGGTTTAGTAAAGTCGACGTGAATACGCGAATATTGAAGTTTCCATCATCAGTTACGTAACCTTCGTCACTTTGATACTTTCCCACGGTAATGGTTTCATCTATTTCCACATGTCTGCTAAAGGAATCTTTACACCTAACCACCCCCTTTGTCAGTATCCTATGTTTCTCATCATGGATTTGAGGATCAAATATCCCGTCCACTGCAATACCGTAGGTATATTTGCTTTTTCTCTCTGCGATAAGACTTGAATCATGACCAAAGATAACAGCTCCTCTTAACACGGACCAGGCAGCTTCCTGAGGAATGATGATTCGTTTCTCTGAAAACTTTTCACGGATCGCTTGGAAAAGCATTGGAGATTCTGCAAAACCACCGACTAGCAAAACAGTTCCTATATCTTTTCCATCCTTTGTTTGAAAAAGAGTAGATATATGGCATAGAATGTTACTAATTGATGAAGCGAAAAAGCTCTCAACTGTGCTAGATTCTAATCGTAGTTTATCCCCCATAAACGAAACTTTTGTTGACTTTCCCTCCAAAAGCTCCACAGTAGTGACCTTCCTTAAGGATTTTCCAGGATAAACAGACTCATATATATCCGATAAATCGGATGGGATGCGAACATTGACTTTGACAGTGGACCCAGGTTTTACTGTACGCTTTGCAATTTCAAATTCTCGAGATATTTCATACAACAAACTTCGCCTTTCTTTCCTAATTTTTCTCATTACAGTTTCTCCAACCATACTTTTCACAAAGTCCATGTAATTTTCATCAACTTTTGTGCCTCCCCAATTTCCACCAGATGCTTTCAGAATTTCTTTCACTTTTCCATTTTTTAAAACCTCGTGTGCTGTTATATCAATAGTTCCACCTGAATGAAATATACAAAAAAAATTGTACATTTAGATAAATTTCTAATTGGCATAAAGAATTAAAAAGGACATTATTTTCTAAAAATTCGGGGCTCTAGAGATATGCTGAAAGGTATATTTTTGAAAAATATTATTATGTTGTAATCTCCAGTCGGTAAAAAAGATAATTATGAATAAAAGAATTAAATGACTAATTTCATACAAAAAATCCTCCACCATAAAATCAAGCAATTTAAATTCTCTTCATAAATATCTATTTACAAATTCAACAAATTTTAGATCCTAATTTTCCAAAAAGAACAAGGAATGGCAAGGGTTTTATATAGCATCCTTTTGAATGGACCTCACAACAATACGTGATATTTTAAGATAAAATATTTCTACTGATGCCTATATAAAAAAAAATAAGTATGTTTCAGAAGAAAAGAAAAAAGATACTCAAGTCATGTATTTTAATTTATTTTTTTTCTGAATTTTAGTAGCTTTCATGATTTTCAGGATTTCAGCAAACATTGCTTGTATATTTGCATATTAAATAAATTTTATGCATTATCATTAAGTACATCTTCCCAACTTGATAATTTCTGACTGGTAGATATTTTTATTAAGTCAGCACATAAAAGAGCACTTTAAATGAGTAACTCTAAATAAGTTAACAACGTTCCTAAGCCCTCTTTATTACTTGCTTAACATGTTCATCAGACGCAATAATGTCAACAAGGAAATTTGCAAATAAGTTTTTAGATTTTTTCCTCCTTTCGAGAATCAAATTAAGACAGGCTATATATACCTTGTCAGTTGTATGAAACAGATTGATTTGGAAATAAACACTCAAAAAAGTTACCAGTTTGAGTAAGCTAATTATTTCTTTGATTTATGCTTTTGCAAATATTCTCGACTACTCTGTTGACATAAATAAAACACAAGAAAATGACATTTGACATCTAATGATGAAATGAATAAAATTACCGCCGGCATCAACTACTATGTATTTTGATCCTTTTGAAAATGTCTGGAAGGTTTCTCCAATCTCTCCCCCAACCTTTCTGTCGACTGGTAAGTACTTCACAAAGATAGCAGCAGCTTCTGGCTCAAGGGATATTGTAAGCATATCAGAACTTATTCCTGCCTAATGAAACATGAGCCATTTAAATCGCAGACTAATTCATACAGGTTGCATAAATCAAAAATAACTTCGAGTATGGATTGCAAAATGCGACTTGCATCCGAGTGTAAAAAAATTCATAAATAAATAAGAAATGTACGACAAAAAAGGAATTTTTCACGTAAACTATTAATTATTGATTATAAATCAACCTGGTATATACATCCTTATCACGTTGAGTTGACAGGCGCGGATCATCAGATCAATCGAGACGCAAACCGTTTCGTTTGATCTGATGATCTGCGCCTGTCAACTCAACGTGATAAGGCACTTCTGATCAAGTTACTGCATATTATAATGATATATTTATTATATACCCCTCTATCATTAGTAAATACAATAAAAGAAAAGCGTTTGGGATCAATTATACGATTATATGAATACATTTTCAAAAATATTTTGACACGCAAGAAACCAGAAGTCTCTGACGAGACTGTAGCTCTACTGGTTGTATTTATAAAGGAAGATAAAAGTTGCACTTGGACTTGAAACTTTGCAACAGCAATAATAGAATAATGATCCCTAGTTTAGTCTCTTTTGTGGCAAGATTTATTATTATATCATACTAAAACTGTAGGAGGAGTAGCCTTTTAAAACAATTTTACAGAAATTTTGATTTAAGTAACCATGGCAACATCATTCAACAAAATCAAAAAACAATAACACCAATTATGTATCTCTGTAGTCTACTTGTATGCTACATTATACTGAAATCAGACAAAAAAGTGTAGGAGGTGTAGCGTTTTGAAAGTATTTCAAGAAAATTTATATTTTTAGTAACCATGGCAACACTGTTCATCGAAATCCGAAACTGGTACAGAGAATTATGTATCTTAGTGTAGTTTACTTGTGTGCTAAGTAATACTAAAATCAGACCAAAACTGTAGGGGTAGCATTTTGAAGGTATTTCAAGGAAATTTCTATTTTTAGTAACCATGGCAACAATGTTCATCGAAATCAGAAAATCAAAACAAAGAATTATGTATCTTAGTGTAGTCTACTTGTTTGCCGAGTTATACTGAAATCAGATCAAAACTGTAGGAGGAGTAGCATTTTGAATGTTTTTCACAGAAATTTCTATTTTTAGTAACCATGGCAACACCGTTCATCGAAATCAAAAACCGATATACAGAATTATGTATCTTAGTATAATCTACTTGTGTGCCAAGTAATATTGAAATCAGACCAAAACTGTAGGAGGAGTACCATTTTGAAAGTATTTCAGAGAAATTTCTATTTTTAGTAACCATGGCAACACCGTTCATCGAAATCAAAAACCGATACACACAATTATGCATCTTAGTGTAGTCTACTTGTGTGCCAAGTAATATTGAAATCAGACCAAAACTGTAGGAGGAGTAGCATTTTGAAAAATTGTTTACAGACGGACGGACAGACAGACAGACAGACGGACGGACGGACGACGGACACCTTACTATCACATAAGCTCTTCTGGTCTGACCAGTAGAGCTAAAAAACGTGTTGTATACTGAGTACTATGTCATCAATTTCAGTCATCAGTTTCAGGAACGGTTGATATGGATTCAGAAAACCACTGTGGGGTGATTCGGAAAGTCGGATCACAACGTCATTTTAATGTGTGTAATAAGTAGTACAACAGAGTGATACATAGTAGGGTATATAATAAAACATAATATTACCTTTATAGCTGCTGTTCTCATGAATGTTTTTGCTGGATCAGACCAGATTGCTGGTACAGTAAGAACCCATTTGATATCATCAAGTTGTATTTCCGTGTTTTGCTTCGTACATTCCTCTAACAGTGAATCCTTGAGATATCGTATGGACTCAGAAAATACAAGCATTGCTGGAAGCGTCTTTCCATTCACGTCCTCAACTAACACTTCTTCATCACTGGACTGGAACAAAAAGAAAATAAAGAGTATATCAAAGAAAAGGCCTATGGGCCAAAATGAGTCATCTTGATTATGTTATTTTTTCAGAACAATGCTCTCACCCTACCCACTGATGGCCTTAGGGATGGGGCTAAAAATATCAAAATAGGTGGTATCTTTAAAAATCGTTTTCTTTTTCCTGGACATCAAGCAATCAAACTGTTGGCGTGATTGTAATAAGGATTTAGCCCTCTACAAAAATTGTGAAATTCATGGCCAAAGGGCAAAAGGGTCAGGGGTCTGGAGTTAGGTCAATTATCTATTGATTATAAATTGAAAATGCATTAATTCTTTAAAAATTGTCTATCCTCCTGTATATAAAGCAGATAAATTAGGTGCATGCATATGGTTAAAATAATCAAAAGTACCTCTTCCAAAATTGTGAAAGAACAAGGTACAGTTTCAATACAAATCTTGCCCATTTTTTTCAAAAATATGAAAGTGATGTAAGAAATTAAAACTCATGCTCTCTGAGTTGTTGAAATTCCATGCAGTAAGAATATACAAATCGTTTTTCTTATATGACTTCTTAAAGGCTAATTGCAACGTCATAAACGTGTGCATTTTCCCGTATTTTCTTTGAAAGTTCAGTTCACGGTAGCTCAGTCGGTAGAGCGCTTGCTCCGTGATCGGGAGGTCATATGTTCGAATATCGGCCGCGACTGACCTAAGTCGATAAAAAATGGGTAGCAACTGTTCCTTCGCCATGCGCTCAGCACTTTGAAGTGAAAGTTGCGGGTCCTTCGGATGAAACCTTAAAAACCGAGGCTCCGTGTCACGGCAGGCGTTGGCACGATAAAGATCCCTCACTGCTCAATGGCCCTGAGAGCCGAGTAAAGGTCAAAATTTGAATCCCTTCACCGGTATATGGTGACGTCTCTATATGAGTGAAAAATTCTCGAATTGGATGTAAAACAACATACAATTAATCAATCAATCTTTAAAAGTTGCAGAAGACATCAGTTTCAGTGAATATTTCTCTCAGATATAGAGCACATGCATCGCCCACAAAGATTTTCAGATTTTTCAAAGGATTTTACACAAAATATTCAAAAATTGCAGAGGGCGAAGGCTGTAGACACTGTTTTCTTAAGAACAAGAACCCCAGAAATGAGTCATTTTGAGGCTTTTTATGTTAAAAACTTAGAAATGGACCAATTTAATGACGTCATATTTCCAGAATGGTCCTCCTTCGTGCCGTATTCTTTCATGATTTATTACATTCATATACTCAACTCATATTTAAGCCAATTCCATAACTTTTTAAAAACATTAAATTCTAAGGGCACAATAAAGCCCAAACTCTACCTTCTCCTTTGTAGCCCCAGGATCAAGGGTTCATTGAGAGAGAAGAGGGGGCTGTAATGAAAGTGCATTATTTATTTCAAAATCTTCTTCTCTGCTCCAGGGTGTTAAATAAACCAAGTGCATACTTATAATGAACAAGGATACTTATTCCAAAATTGTAAATTCCATGGTCTCTGGGTCAGGGGTTATTGTATTAGCTCAGGGCTCTATTGATTACTGAGTAAATAGATTGATTAATTGATTATAGGTTAACCCAGACGGCAATATTTCAGCCACATTTCCACGGTTGGTTATATAGGGAAAATGCATCAATTCATTGAAAATCTTCTTCTCTTCTCTTGGGTATTTAGCAGATAAACTGAATGCATGATTACGATTATCAAGAGTGCCTCTTCGAAAATTGTGAATTTTGTGGCCCCAGGGTCAGAGGTTCTTTGGAGGGAAGGGGGCTCTATTTATTACATAGTGAAAGTACATTATTTCTTTGAAAACCTTTTTCTCTGCCCTTGGCTATTAAACAAACAAACAAAGTGCTTAGATATGATGATAAAGCGTGCTCTTAAAAATTGTGAATTCCCTGGCCACTGGGTCAGGGATATTGGGACAAGGCTCTATTGATTAAACAGTGAAATTTATTATTTCTATGAAAATCATCTACTCTGCTCCTTAGTATTAAATAAACCAAGTGCATGTCTATAATGAGCAAGAATGCTTCTTCCAAAATTGTGAATTTAATGGCTCTTTGGTCAGGGGTTCTGGTGTTAGGGCAGGGTTCTATTGAGTACTGTAAAATCACTTTTTTTTTCGAGGTGTCAAATTTTCTTGGTTTATGGGAAATATCTTTTGGTTCCTGAGGATTTAAATTGTAGTGTTCAGATGTTACATTGAGGGGGGGGGATGAATTCGTGGATCTCTCCAAACCACGAAAAAGGAAATTAAACCCCCACGAAAATAAGTTACTTTACAGTATATATTTGCCCTATTGTGGCAATACCCTGATTTCAACGATTCATAGCCTTGTTATTCTTGAGAAGATTTCTTTAAAAAAAACAAACTATTTATTCCCATTATATACTTTGATCCCCTACTGTGGCTCCCACTAACCCTGGGCCATAATTTGAGCAAACTTCAATCTGCACAAAATGAGGATACTTGCATATAAATATGACTTATCATGTCCTTGTTATTTTTGAGAAGAACTGGGCTACCTTCTCTAAATAAAGTATAATTATTATTTTTAAGAATAATTTAAGAGAATTTTCTTATATTATTCAGTGTAAAAATTTGATATCCTATTATGGCCACAATTCTTCCCCTGAAGGTAGGGGGGGGGGGGGGCTATTGTTTGTTAAAAATTGGATCTACCCTTCTTTTAAGTTTTATCTTTTCTTGCCCAGTGGTTTTTAGCTCACCTGAATCGAAGGGTGCCCGGCGTTGGTCTGTTGTCTGTCGTGTATCTTCTGTAAACTTTTCACATTTTCAACTTCTTCACAAGAACCTCTGGGCCAGAAAAGACGAAATGTAAAAGTTTTATATAGGAGATACCTTTAAAAATCTTCTTAAGAACAGTATGATTAGTCATATTAATACAGAAGCATCCCCAGGTAGTGTAGACTGAAAATTGTTCAAATCATGACCCCCGGGGGTAGTATGGGGCCACAACAGGGAATCAAAGTTTTACGTTGGTATATATACAATTGTAGGAGATATCTTTAAAGATCTTCTTCTCAAGAACAGCGTTGCCATGATTAATCATATTAATATAGAAGCATCCTCAGGTAGTTTAGATTCAAAATTGTTCAAATCATGACCCTTGGGGCTTGGATGGGGCCAAAACAAGTGATCAAATTTTACATAGATATATAAAGAAATATTTTTAAATATCTTCTCTAGAACAACAAAGCGATAATTAGTCATATTTATGTAGAAACATTCTCAGTTTAGATTCAAGATTGTTCAAATCATGACCCAACAGATTAGGGCGGGCCACAACAGGGAATCACAGTTTACATGAGAATATTTAGGAAAAATCTTCTCAAGAACAGCAAAGCCATGATTAATTATATCAATATAGGAGCATCCTCAGGTAGTACAGATTCAAGATTTCTCAAATCATGGAGGGTGGGATCATAACATGGAATCAAAGTTTTACATAAGAATAAATAGGAGAAGTCTATCTTTAAAAATCTTCTCAGGAACAGCAAAGCCACGATAAGTCATATTAATAGAGAAGTATCCTCAGGCAGTGTACATTCAAGATTGTTAAAACCATGACCCCTGGGTTTAGGGTGGGGCCACAACAGGGGAACGGAATTATACTAATATACATATTTTTATTTATACATATTAATTTTATTCGCATAAAGTGAATGGGATTAGGCAGCAGGCATAGCCTATTTTAGCCCTCTCCCTAATAGATATGAAATATCTTTAAAAATCATCTCATGAACAAAAAAAAGCCATGATAAGTCATGCATAATTATATGGAAGCATCTGCAGGTAGTGTAGGTTTAAGTTTGTTCAAATCATGACCCCTTTTGGTTAGAGTAGGTCATAATCTGTGATCAAAGTTTTACATAAGATTATATAGGAACAAGAATCTGCTGACGAAGAGCAGAAAGGGGGAAAAAAGGTGAACGTTGTGGCCTTTGGGCCCCTTGTTAACAGATGAAAAAGATGGAACCAAGAGATGTGCCCCTTGAAAGAGGGTGTGACGGCTACTTTGTGTCAAGTTTGGTTCAGATTGGAGAAGTTTAAAATTTAAAAAGTTAAGGACAAGGACGACGACGTCAGAAAATGAACAAATTTCGATCAGAAAACCTCACTTGAGCCTTTGGCTCAGATGATCTAAAATATATGAGTGAGACATTCTACTTGGCATGTGATAAATGTAATTGTCAATAATGTACATGTAAAGCGTTTTTTTTTTTTTTTTGCCTGACACCACGGTGTCAGGCATGTTAAGGATCACTTTTTCCATGGTGCGAAACTAAAGATCGGCAGCTAATCAACTAAATTTTGTGCAAGCTGATTTACATCGGATTTTGCTACCTGCGTTTTAACAACAACAGTTAGCAGAAGAAACAATCTTGTTACTGATGCAAAATATTGATCTGTTTACTTCCTTGAGTTTTTTTTTATGCAACGCGATTCCCTATATGAACATGTCCGTGTAACCTTTTTTCTGGGTTTCTATAGTACTGGATCAGTCCATTTATCTTCTAGGAGAGATGAGACACAATCATTTCGCGCCAAATCTTCGCGCCTTTTCCTCGGAATGTTATATTGAATGGGTGTGATAACTTCCATAGAATTAAAAAAAATTAGTTCTTTTATCCTGATTCACGAGCTTTTATTTTTTAACTTTCTCATTTTCTTTTTAAAGTAACATGTCGTATATGGACAGGTAACAACAAGCAATGAATTTGCTAATTTTTCCTCCTTATTTTATTTACCGGTTTATTCCAAAAGAGGACTTGTCCTATTTTAGTTTTAACTATTATAACAAACGTCATTCAACGTGATGTAGGGAAAGAAAATAGAAGGTCAAATCGTATGCTTTATAAAAATTTAAAATGATTAGATGGTACAGACAAAAAATTCTTAAGATGAAGAAGTGACCAAATATATCTGATAATTTTGATCCTCTTTTGCTTACCATGAAGTAGAGATGCATATTCTATGCAAACACATTCTGCATGTCTATCATAACAAATATCAATTTCTTGTAAAGAATTTCCGTATACATCTTTAAAGATAAAGCATTCTTTTGTTTTAAAGTTTTTATTCCAAGATTATACATGTAGATGGAAATTTTGTCTTCAGACGCACAACATTTTTTAAATATGGATGTCTATTCACGTCAACAAAGGAAACTGTGTACACTTCTTTGTTATCATGATGATCTTTTGTCATGATAACTCTCTTAGTGTGACGCATGTTGCCATGCATCTACCACACAGCTTTGTGGTCACCTTTCCATTCTTCTGATGCGTCGCAAATAAGTTAAACGTCAAAAATCATGATTCCTTATACGTTCGACTATTATATATTGATTGGTTTAGTCAGGCAAGCTTTTGAAAAGCGATTACACGGTTTGTTTTCAACCCGAGAAATCTTCTATAGAAATAAACTGGCCTAAGTTTAGCTTTGATATTTTCTACTTTGTACATAGAATTATCATTAGTGCATATCAATCTGTGGAACAATATGAAGGAAATATGATGCGGAATTCGACTGGATCAGCATTTTTATAATGATATTTACTTTACATGTATTTTTCACTTACCTCTATGCCATAAAGAGACATTTTGAATCGCCTGAAAATATACCAGTTATGCTGCTCTTCGTCCAGAGTAAGCTCCATGTACTTTTCTTCTGCTTCAAAGCCAAACTTTGAAAATTGTTTGTCCTCTGTAAACAGGATGCATGTCGACGTTTTATGGGAAGTCATTGTTGTCATAGGATCAATCCATTGCTTCATTGCAGATTTTGTTGGATCTCTTTTAAAATCGTGTCTCGTTGAGAAGGTATATCCGGAGTACGTTGTGCCAAGGTCTATTGCAGCACACAAGAGGTAGTCTGTCTGTTCACTGGAAGTCATCTCTTTAAAATCTGCACCTGTCAGTATTTGCACTGCTCAGTTAGCTAAATTACCGTACTGACCTAAAACAAACATTACTAATTTAACTATATAATGTTTAATTTAATCCCTCTTCTCTCACTGAATTCGACTAGGAATTCAAAAAAGGAAACAATAATAAAAAAAAAATAATAATCCCTTAATCATGTAACGAAATAATTTGTATCGTTTTGTGTCACCTTCAGAGCAGAGCGACATTTAGGGATCACTTTATCCGGCGTCTGTCTATCAGTACTTCTGTCCCACCATATATCTTGAGAACTGTAAAAGATATGGATTTGATATTTTGCACATATATTGCATGACACTTTGGCTTTTGTAAAATATGATAGTTATCGACCTCTTTACCTTTGAACTTGACCTTTGACCTACTTTTCAGAATAGTTCATTATGCCGTTATGCAGCATATTTTTGACATTTAAGAGGTAAATTTGTGCTATTAAGCATGCACACTGTTTGACATAAACATCATGGAAATTACCAGTGTTACAAACCTCTTAACCTTTGACCTACTTTGCAAAAATACTCCAAACAGTTGATTTAATTTGTGTCTCTTTTGATTTTGTGAGGCAGGGTTATAATATTGGCATTTATATTTCATATCTGTGAGCTCATGACATTGTACTTTGAGCTCATGACACTGTATGCTATACAGTTACCACACAAACTGAAATTTTAAAAATACTATGAACATACATAGGGATCGGTAAACCAAAAGGATCATTGTAAACTAATAACGTTGAAGTAAAGAAATACTGAATTCTCTTTTGGAGGAGAGTTTTTATCATGTTTTAAAATGAAAAATAAATATTTCTAATATGTAATTTCAATTTCATTATTCAAGCTAGCTTTGAAGGTTAGGGAGTCATATTTCTATTTGAGTGTGAGATTTTATATGATAAATGCTATTCCATCGGTCTTAATACTTGTGATTTTTTTCTTTGCTATTATAAATCATGATAATGGCAGTAGCAAATAAATAACTGGCCATCCTTCGATTTATTGTTATCTTTAATGATGCTATAAAGGAGGCTGACACATATGTTCCTTGGAACACGCTAGTATAATGTTCCCCAAACGAAGTTTGGGAACATACTTAAGGTCTTTCGTCTTCACGGAAGACCTTATAGTGATTCTACTGTTTCTTATTAGGTCTTTCCACCTTTCTGTGGAAAGACCTACTGAAATTGTTCTGTTTATAATTATTATTAGGTCTTTCCACTTTCCGTGGAAAGGCCTATTGAAATGCTTATGTTTATTATTATTTTTCTGTTACGGCCTTTTGAACCAAAGGACGTATCAAAAAACTTTGTAGTTCATGATACTCGACATCAAAAGTTATTTCGAAAAACTACCCAACGAATATGACCTATGACCCCTTTCAGAGTTCTTGCCCCTTGTACGAAAAACCTTGTTATCGCTACTCCTTCGAAACCATAAACCGTAGAGGTACGGAACCTTCACCAATGTCTTCGACTTATTGAGGGGACTCTTTAATCTTTTCATTGCAAAAGTATTCGTCGACCCCTTTTATGAGTTATTGCCCCTGAAAGTTTTTGATGTTTACAAATAATTAAAAAATTTCAAAACGGTAAGTCGTAGAGACATGGAACGATCTGCATAAGATTCATTGACCTTTGACCTTAAAATATATGCAAAGGTCAAGGTCATTCCAAAAATGAGAAATTAAGCTCTTTTTACAACTCTTTTGTCTTTCAACATATACTATCTGTCTTTGCATCATTAATATGTACTCTTAAATCTATTTCAAAGATTTCATTCTTGTCCCCTAAACTTAACCCCTTTGAAAGTTATAGCCCCTTGTGTGAAAAACCTTGTTATCGCTACTTCTCCGAAACCGTAAACCGCAGAGACATGAAACCTTCACTAATGTCTTCAGGGTCTTTAGACACAATTTCAATCTATTCAGTGCGAAAGGATCTGATGACCCCTTTTATGAGTTATTGCCCTTTAACGACTTTGCGCTTACTATTAAACCTTATAACTTTAAATTTATTTTGACCAAAATTTTGTGCACGCGATTTCTCAAAAACTATTCACTGGTTTTCAATGAAACTTTCACAAAAAATGAAAGATACTATATGATCTTTGTTCATCACTAGTAAAATTTGGAAAATTAGCTTCCGGTTCCAAATTATGGATTCCTGACTTTTAAATGGAATGTTGTCCGCGGCAAACCTAAAGAACGATTAAAGGTATGAACTGGAGACTTATTAGAGATTGTAAAACATGTCTTCTAGATTTCCAGAAGCGCCTTTTCGTGCGTTGTCACTACTTCCGGTCGCTACCGGAAGCGGATTTAAAAAGTCGAATTTTTCAACTTTTTGTTTTTCAATATATTTTGGTGATATTAGTAGGGTTAATAAAGACTCTTTTCAGAATGCATAATATATTGTTGGTTTGAAAATTGAAAATAAATATCATAATTATTAATTAATATTTTTAGACAAATATTATGCACGCCATAACTCGAGAACTGTTCAGTGGTTTTTCGTCAAACTTTCAGGGATAATGTGCTTTAAAAAGCCATTGTTACATTTGAAAGAATTTTGGAAAATTTACTTCCGGTTCCATGTAATGGGCAATTTCCTGATTTTCAAATGAAATTTTTTTCCGTGGCATTTCTAAAGAATGGCTAAAGATATGAACTGGAGACTTATTAGAGATGATAGAACATGACTTCTAGGTATGCGGAATCGCCTTTTTGTGTGTCGTTAATAGTTCCGGTCGCTAACGGAAGCGAATTAAAAAAAGTCGAATATTTCATTTTTTTCTCTTAATATCTTTTAATGATTTTAATAGGGATAATAGAGACTCTTATGATAAATGGTCCCACTAGAGTAATAATTGACTAAACTAAACACGCGGGCGACCTGGACTCAATCCCCAGAATATCTGGATTTTTTGGTACCTTTTTCAGCTGAAATATAATACTGTATCTTTGAAATGATATCTGGTATAATTTTCCGTTCGAATTACGCGATGTATTTTACAATTTACGTTTTATAGTATTTCATGTATGAAGGAGTTAAAAGGAATGCACAACGTAATACAGATAGTGCTATGAGTGAGGAATCAACTTCTCTCATGACGGAGAAGGGACGGAAGACCTTCTTGTTGCCATGGCAACAAGTTTCTAGTCTTTTTACTTTCTTTTCTCAAAATTTCTTCTCCGGTACTTTTTTGTCCGCGAGTATTCTCAAAAACTACTCAACCATCTGATATGAAACCTTTTAGGGTTAACAGGAATGTTGTGTAGATGTGCGGAATAAAGGTCATTTTGCGCGCACATGTATGCACGTTTGTGTACCTGCAACAAGTGAAATGATTGATTTACTTTATACAGCCATAACTTTTATATTTTTATGAATGCCGTGAAACTCAGAACATAAAGATATATTAGTAGTGTAGACAAGATGACATGGTCAAATTAGCATGAACTCACGCGCATGCACATGTACTTTGCTCTGATTGGCTGAGACAAAATATCAATATCTTCCTTGTCTTTTGACAAAATATTTTGGAATTTAAAATATAGGTATATATTATAAGATTCTACAATATGTTATATACAGAAATTCTTAACAACTACATGTTATATACAGAAATTCTTAAAAGCATGCACGTTTTCTGCAATTTGATTGGCTGAAACTTTAAATAGCTGTAATTCCTTAAGTTTTCAACAAAATAGAATAAAATTTAAAATTCTTATAGCTATAATGGGTTCCTACATTATGCTACTATAAACAGTGAAATTTAAGACAATGGCGTATGTTATAAAGCACTATAAAAATATTTTTGTGAGAAAATAATAAGCGCAAGCACGAGTGCTGAAATCTGATTGGCTAAGGTTGTTAGTATTTATAATATTCTTAATTGTTAACGAAAGAAGATGAAACTTTGAGTATGTGTAGATAACACAAGTTCCTACTTTATTCAATCATCAGAAATGAATATGAGGATAGGACTGCACGTGTGTTGATTTCTGATTGCTCAATATTCATGTTTCTGTAACTCTAGATCTCTTTGTTTTCAATGATATTCTTGGAAATTTGAAATGGAGCTTTTTATTATGGCATTTTGTACATGTAAATGGTAATTTTTGAAATCATGTGCTTGCACTTGTACTTGTATCTGATTTGCTTACGTTCATTTTGCTCTATTTGCATTGTTATTTCTTCAAAATACTTTTGAAAATAAGTTCTTAAAGGTGCTTAGACACAGATTTGAAGTTAACATTTACTCAAATTTTCTGTATAATTTCATGACTTATATACTGAAACGCAAAAGAAACGCAACTAGCAGTAATCTACAAATATTTGAACCTTTTAACTAATGATTTTCAAAACTGGTTACAGTTAAGTTAAACTCGATTTAAAAGCATCAAAGATTTGATAACAATGTTAAATGATTACCTTTTAACTTTAGAAAGTAACACATGACTGTTAAAACACCCCCCTTCCCGGCCATTCAATTATAGCGTGGTAGACTGTCATGCACAGCAATTGCAGCTTGATTTCCACGATGCAGTAAGTTCATCAATCTCGGGATCTGAGCGAAAAAAATATTCTTTGCCATTTTTAAATGTCCGTTTTTCAGATGATGAAGTCGAATTTTCTCTAACCTAGCGCAGTGTAGTAACACTTGGACTTCCGGTCCACGGACTATCATTCATGCTAATGATACGTATGAGCCTGTTGAGGCGTGTTGTCGGGCATTTTTGCACCTGCAATTCTCCATCACCTTTATTTTTAGCTTTTCCAGCTAGAGCATTTGAAATGCGTACTTAAGTCATTTTCAGAAAGCCTTGGCATCTCTTACGGAAACGAAAGGAGAATTTATTTTACAAAATATTGCTGCATTACTTATGATTAACAGATACAAACCCTTAAAACCCTAAATTTTTGTCAAATTTTTTGTTAAACATGCAATTTTTTATTTCTGTTCAGCG